CTGCTGCGATCACCAGAGGATTAAGAACTGATTTGGCCAATCAGCTCTACTCTGAACTGCAGACAATGCCTTTGGTCGGACCCTGCTGGTACCAAACAGGGAGACAGTCAGGAGGATTCAAGCATCACAAGATCTTTTCAGCCGAGAAGCACTTCAATGGCAGGGAGCTGGGTGCACTACTTGGAGAAGCTGTCCAGCCTCCCCCGGTCTGGAGCAACTCGCCAAGAACAAGCCAGGGACAGTGTGGCTGAAAGGCACCTGCCCAAAGTAGGTGGCAACGAAGGGCCCACCTGGATGAGCCTTTCCTGTAAGAGGAAGCAATTGTTCCCTCTCATCCAGTCCCACTTCCTTCCACTGGCACCAGCCAACTCTTCAGGTGGTGCAGGCAGCTCATGAGCTTGCCAATGGCCAGGATGGCTTGCTAACACAACGTGGGGCCCTGCAGCAGGGCAGGCTCTCAGCACCCACTTGTGCTCACAAAAAGCCCCAACGAGCTCACACCCCAGCCCTCTGCAGGCACCTTTCCATTCTCCTTCCATGCCATGCTGACAGTTTTCACAGTGACTGGCAAGACAAAGACTGCAGGATCAACCTAGCCTGTTAGAAGCTCACACAGAGGACCTGGGGCACTTCAGGGGAGGAAACACTCAGCAGGGAGACACAGAAGAAGAGTAGGACCATGCAAGAAGAAGGCAGGAAAAAAACAAAAAAAAAGCTTTGAGGAGCAAAGACAAGGGTAAAGGCAATTCTCAGCGGCACGTTTCGTTCCTCCCCCCACTTTTGTTTTTCTGTTTCTTGCTGCTCCTACCTCAAGAATAACCTCAGGAGACCTCACGTAATCCAGCAGTGGCAGGGAAAACAAAAAAACCTTTCCTTTTGATGTCCGGAAGGATGGAGAAGTCCGTGAAGGATCGACAGCAGCCCCTGGAAATTAAAAGATGAGCACGATCATCGAGCAATGTCAGGAGCAGTATTGCACTGTTGACTTGAAAAGGGCTTCCATGTTCCCACAGTGGGATTCCTCTCTTTCTTACTGACACACTCCCTCTGGAACACACCACAGGGACTCCTTAAACTGTCGTAAGGGGCCGTGGAGAAAGACAAGAACGTGAAGTTGGCTTTCTGCTCTCCCGATGTGGTCTGGCCCGTTACAGACTCTGGCAGCAGGTACAGGGGCACAAGGTGCCATTCAAGTGCCCATCTTGTCAAGCTGGCCAGGAAGCACTTTGTGACTGCTTTGTTTGTACAATGTCACGGTACCTGATGATTTGAGGGCATAATCAGGCATTGGGACTTGGTTTTCTTCCAGCTTCACCAAGACTTGATTGATTATCTCTTGAACAGCCTGAGAAAGAACACAAAGGAGAGCGCCTGTTAGCAGGAAAAGGAATGGGGCAAGCAGCTCCCTTGCAAGGCCAACCAAGGTGAACTGGGACAAGGTTTAACTGAGATGGAAGGATGGCCGGAATTACCCGGAAACCTCCCAAGTTTGCTTTACTCTGATTGACCCGTATATCAGAATGGAGGGGCTTCTCACTGCCATGCTCTGAATGCTAAAGCTGCGGGAACAGGCTTTTCCTGTGGAGATGTCCCATGCCGGGCAACACAGACAGACAAGCCTGGGCATGACATGGGACTAGGGCAACTGTGGACTGCTGAGACTATTCTTTCTTTCCAGTCCTCCCTCAAGGAGGACCCAAGATCTGCACAGAGAAGAACCTACGACTAAGAAAATTGTCATTCCTGTCATGGCTCTCTCTTCCCCCATAGGGAAGTGTGGAGCAACAGGAAAAGGAAGTGTGGCAATGCACAGCACTTGTTCCCTCAGCATCAGTCTTTTGACTAGCTATGACCGGGAACTGTAGCAGGATACATGCCAGAGGGAGGAAAGAAACCTCTGAGGAGAGCCTTCTGCAGGGTGCCCTTACCCATCCGGTAAAGCCTGGGAGCTTAGCCTGCTTCAGGGCTTCGTGGAGAGCACGCTCCGTGACATCCTTTGCGCTCCAGCGCAGGTGAAAAAGCTCCTCCTGGAGCTTACGTAGCTGTTCTGGAAGGCTCAGGGTTTTGCCCTGCACTTCTGGTAACTTGTCTGCTGCTGGCCTAGAAAACATGAGCAACAGCAATACGGTAACTGTTGTGGCTGGCCTGTCAGATGCCGTGGGAATGTGAGCGAGGCAAGAAGCCTGGCTCTGGATGACTGTCAGGGTAAGCGCCATCTTAAGCGGTTGGGAGAGTTAGTTCTGAAGTTCTTGGAGCTTTGGGCTGAGAAGCTGCTTCCCAAGCTCCTGGGTCCACTTTGGGGAACTGCTGAACATCTCAAATGCCCAAAGGCATCTTTTTCCCTGTGAGAAGTGCCCCTCTGCGTACGTCTTCATGGGCAACTGCTGCTACACTGATCTCAGCCTGTCTTTCCCATGGCCTCTCCTCTCCTTTGAGGGAGCGATGCTGCTTGCAGGGGCTTTCTATTGCAGCCCAGCAATGGACTCCCAAGCATCAAGGGAGAGAAATAGATGCAGGATGGAGAAGGCTGCCGTTCCCTTTCTCAGGCATTTGCAAGGTGGAGCTGCAAACAGCCCAGCCCAAGGGGAAGGGTGGACGGACAGGTGGCTCCAGTCCTCTAATGGACATGGGGAGCTATAGCTGACTTTGGCAGAAGGGAAGAAAGGGCAATGGGAGAAGGTCAAGGAATCATGTCAAGTGAAGTTTGTGTGAGATAGGCCATAACCAAAATTCTACTGGGGCTGAGGGGCAGAGTTGCTTTAAAGAACTGTCTGGGCAAGGGGAGATCATTTTTTACCTCTGAGTCTTCCAGTCGCCTCCAAGGATATGCAAGAGCTCCTGGAACGACAATGAAGGGAACAGTCATTCTAAAGAGAAACAGGCCTTCTGCAGCAATGAAGGCAGCACACAATGACAGTCTCTGTGCAGCCAAGGGAAACAAAGAGTTACAGACACCATGCCTATTGGGTGCTCCACTAGCGTGCACTGAGAAAACACCACCGTGGACCGGCAGGCAAGATAGAAGACAATTCTGGTGCAAAGGAATCCAATACTGCTCCAAACCAAAGGACTCAAGTCTTCACACACAAAACTGAAACCTATGCAGGCTCAACACTGCTTAATCATTATTCTTCATCAGCCGTGTGCAACGCCACAAACTGTGGAGACACTGGTGTTCGGTCCAGTTGACCTTCGCCTGAATGAGCTGCCAGGGTGGCTACGGTACCTGGCCTTAGCCACAGGCTTTTAATGCGTGGCACTTTCTGCCCTGGTGTTACGCTGGCAGAACAGCCCTGATCCGAAGAAACCTAAATGTCACCTGCTGTTGGGGAGCCTGAATATCGGAGGAGATGTAGACCTGACATACCGCTGCAGTCCTCCAGACGCTGTCCTTGCCAAGCTGTCCCACGTAGTAAACACCTGTCAGACACACACCAAAGCTCTCCTTACATATAGAACATGAACATGACATACATGTCAGGCTGGGTTATGCCTCGGGCTGCCTGCTCCCCTTTCCTTGTCTCTCCCAGGTGCCATAGCTGTCTCCCCTCTCTTTGAAAGAGGTCATGATGACATACGGGCTCTGCAGTTGATGGACGTTCCCTGCTGCAGAAGCTTCTCAGACTCCTGGGGCAAGTGAGGTTAGCCACTGCCTCTCCCTTGGCTTAGCCCTCTTGGGGAAGACAAGTGACCCCTTCCTCGCCCCCACACCCGTTCCTCTGAAGTGGGGGGACCAACACACCTCCACTGGGGACTTTCTGCTCTTAGCTGGGCTCCTCTGGTCACAGCAGGGGAAACAGACCAGGGCAGAATGGAGCCCTGAGGACCTCCTAAAGCACCATCCTCAGGCCTGAGCTATTCAAAGACTCACCGAAAGAGAACAGACCGACAAGCAGCACCAGCATCACTGTCTTCAGAGTCTTCATTTTCCTACGGAGCAGCAAGGAGGAAAAGGATGGTGAAGCTGACAGTACCCATGCAATTAAGCAGCAGACTCGAGAGCAGCAGTAGGGACTGCAGGTCTGGAACCTGGCGTTCCTGGCTGGAGGACTGGCTTGATCCTGCACAAGCTCGAGTCAGTGGTGGAGCTGTCACCAAGTGCACCAGTGGGGCGTTTGGTACGGCAGCGAGTGGCACTGTTTTGTTCGGGACAAAGGGCTCAAGATTAATTCTGGAATAGGAGAAGGAGTTGCAACAAAAGCTGTGCCTGTGCTTCACATCCATGGGGGTAGAGAGGGATTCTTTGGAAGTAGAAGGGACAGAGTGAATGCCTGTTTCTCCTGCCCACCATCCCATCAGTACTTGTGCTGAAACTGTGCTCCAGCCCCTCTCAAGAAAAGGTTCAGCCTATCGCTAGCCCTTCCTTGGCGTAAATGCAGACAAATGCAGACTGAGCCAAGAGGAAGGGAGGGATGGTTGAATGTAAGGGCATGCTGGCAAGCCAGGGGCAACCAAGGAAATGCCAAGGAAGCACCCTGGTGGCCAGGCCCTGTTCACCTGAAGCCTGATGTGCCAAGTGCCGGCACACACTGGTCTGCAAGACGGAAACTCCTCCTGCCTCCTCTACAAGGCTCTCAAAAGGCTTACAGCCTACACTTCATCAGGAACAACCAGTCCCCATTTGTTTTACTAGAAACCTTCTTTCACCCTGCAGAGGATCTGGTGCTCCTTTTCCTAAGGCACACCACTGGGGAGGAGCTGACCAGGTTTCCAAAGGAAACCTCATCTGTCAGGAACACAAGTCACATCCACTGCCAGCAGAGGAATCACCGGTGTCCTTCTGGTTCGGGTCAAAAAGAAAACCAAGGAAGCTCAGGGCCATAACCCATTCCGCAGAGAGCAAGACAGGACTGCGCTAAGCTCTTGCATCTCTCAGGATGTATGTGGGCAACCGCTTGGGCCTCCCTCCCTGTGAACCAAAATGGACTCATTCCTCATTTTGCAGAGACAAAAGGCTTTCTAGGCCTAGTCGTAGCACTTGTGAAGAGGCTGAAGAGACTGCTGCCACCCTCCATCAGCTCCAGACCAAGCACTCGGGCTGCCCTCATGTTCTTCCCCTGTCCGCCCCCCACTCACCCCAGCTGATGAGGTGGAAAATACACTTGGGGAAAGGAGAGGAGGGTTAATCCAACATACCCGTTCAGATTGTGGGCCTTCCTTGACTGTCTCTCTGTATCTGCTGAGGTGCGGGTACCAGGGACCCTGCTTGCTCAGGAGCGAGTCAAAAACTCTGTGATCTCCGTTCCCTCAAGAACGAGAGTGACAAAGGAGCAGGGACAACCCCAATCTTATGCCCTGCTGTGCTTACCTCAGTGCCGACAACACTTTGTGACATCAATGGCAGTGGATGATGTCACAACAGCACCACGTTTTGAGGCAAAGTCCGACCTGACAGGGAGCAGGTTTTGCACCCCTCTCCACAAGGGAAGAAATCTTACAAAACCACAGTGTCTCCTACCAAGGAGTCAGCTCTTTGAATTCCCACTTGTGGTGGTTTCACTTGGCTAGCACTTGACTAGCAACCAAACACAGCTGTTCACTCACTTCCCCCCCACCAGGTTCTCTGTATCAAAATAATCATCAGGTGGACCAGGCTGCTAAGATCAAAGTGTCTCAAGTAGAACTGGACTCGCAACATAAGGGTGAAAAATTTTTAGCCCGCTGGGCCCATGATACCTCAGGCCATCAAGGAAGAGATACAACACATAGATGGGCTCGTGATCGAGGGGTGGACTTAACCATGGACATTATTGCACAAGTCATTCATGACTGTGAAACATGTGCTGCGATTAAGCAAGCCAAGCAGTCAAAACCTATTTGGTATGGAGGACAATGGTTAAAATATAAATATGGGGAAGCCTGGCAGGTTGACTATATCACACTCCCACAAACACGCAGTGGCAAGCGTTACGTGCTCACCATGGTGAAAGCAAACACTCAGTGGTTGGAGACATATGCTGTGTCACCTGCCACTACCTGAAACACCATTCTAGGCCTTGAAAAGCTGGTCTTGTGGCGACATGGTACCCCAGACAGAATTGAGTCAGGCAACGGGACTCATTTCTGAAACAATCTCATAGACACTTGGGCCAAAGAACATGGCACTGAGTGGGTGTACCACATCCCCTATCATGCACCAGCCTCCGGGAAAGTTGAATGATCCAATGGGCTGTTAAAAACCACACTCAAAGCAATGGGTGGTGGGACATTCAAACACTGGCACACAAGTTTAGCAAAAGCCACCTGGTTAGTCAACACCAGCAGATCTGCCAACCGAGCTGGCCCTGCACAATCAAGACTTTTATGTACTGTAGAAGGGGATAGAGTCTCTGTGGTTCACATTAAAAACATGCTGGGAAAAACAGTCTGGATTATTCCTGCCTCAGGTAAAGGTAAACCCATTCGTGGGATTACTTTTGCTCAAGGACCTGGGTGCACTTGGTGGGTGATGCAAAAGGATGGGGAAGTCCAATGTGTGCCTCGAGAGAATTTGATGTTAGATGAAAATAGCCAATGAAGTGCATATCATAATCGCTATGGTTGTTGTGTATTATACTAACGGCTTTATATTAAGACTTTCCCCAGGTTAATGAAGAAGGAACTCTAATGGAACCAGAGCTGGTGCCCAACAACTTCTTCAAGATCAACAGCTTCAACCCGCAGACCCTGAGCATGGACTGTGCGCGATATGCCAGCTACAAGTTCCAGATGCAGCATGGAACAGAGACTATATACCATCCTCCTGCTGTGCCCAACATCAGCTACTCCATTGGCTGTGCAACTTCCACATCATCTCTTCTGCCTTGAAAAACTGTCATGACAGACAGAACCCAAGGTACTGGACTAAATGAACTTAATAGACATTTTGAAGGAATGACCCATAAACTAAGGGAATTATATTTGTATGTATATGTGTGTGTATATATATGTATAAAACTTGAGCATGACGTGAATGGTATGGAATAAGGGGTGGAAACTGTCCTGGTTTTGCTAGGATAATTTTCTTCTCAGCAGTTAGAAGAGCTGTGTTTTGGTTTCAGTTCAGACTTGTTATGAGAACATCATTGATAACAGTACTGATGTTATTAGTTGCTGCTGGAGCTCAAGGCCATCGTGTTTGGCTGTTCACAGCTGCATTAAGACTGGGAGGGAGAAGTGCAGTGAATAGCTGGAAAGCACTGGGTTATCACTCATTTGCATATCTTATTACTGTTATCACTATCACTACTATTTTAATATTAGTTTGGGTTTTTTTAATTTTTCTTTTATTGCTATTATTAAACTGTTTTTATCTCAACCTACAAGCCTCCTAATCCTTGCCCCCAGTCCTCTCCCCTATCCCCTGGGCTTGGGGGGGAAGTGGGTGAAGGGCTGCGTTGGCTGCTAGCCAAGGGCTAGCCCAGTAAAACTAACACACCCTTTTTTCCTTCTTTCCTTCTTTCCTTTCACTTTATATTAATCCCTTCTGCCTCAGGCTGACTTTGTGGATCCACAGGGGAAGGTGGTGAAGCTGGGGGCCTTCTCCATAGGACAGACGGTGAAGAAGACTGTTACCATAGCAAACAACAGCGCTGCACCTGTCACTTTGAAGCTCACTCTCAAGTCCACCATGCCAGAGCTGCAAGAAGCTGGGCTAAGGCCCCTTCCTTCACTGGAGAGTGCTTTGGTGTGCCTACAAGGATGTCTTCAGGTAGCTATGAGCCGCTCCAGGCGGGAGCTAGTAGCTAATTACAGTTGAATGCTGCCCTGTCCTCTCTGCTGGGACTGCTCTACCAGCAGATACTTGCCATGGGAATGCCTCCTCTGAGCTAGGTGTCAGGACTCCCCTCATAACCAGAAGTGAGAAAAAGGTACAACTCTCCTAACACGTTTTAGACACCTATGTTGGTATGTGGCCATGTATATTAGATATGGAAAGGAAATAAGGAAAGACCAAGAGTTACAGCACTCTTGGAACTCATGTGAAATTACTTTGGGAGACTTGGTCCAGCTCACCATGGCCAGATGGACACATCACAGGAAAACACCTTTGGTACCTAGGGATGTGCACCAGGGAATGAGTGGGATTGGAGCAATTTTGGTGGGGACAGAACAGGAACTGGAGGACTCTTCTCTGACTCTAGGGATTCAAAGCTTGGGTGCCAGATGAAGTAGTCTCCACTCTTTTCTTTGGGCACTTTCTCTGCTTGGACCCCACCAACGAACTAAGTCTGAAGCCCAAAGGTGATACCTGTAAAGTGGATGTGACCTTCTCCCCTAAACGCCGCATCCAGCCGTTCGCCGGAGAAGTGATGTTGGAGTGCAACGGCCTGGTGCGCTCCTTCTTCATGGTGCGGGGCTCCTGCCAGGGCATCCATGTGAGCCTGGACCGGGAACACCTCAGCTTTGGAGCGGTGATGCAGCAGAGCTACACATCCCAGTGCATCATCGTGCAGAACACGGGCGACATAGGAGTCATGTAAAGCAAAACTTGATCTTATTTGAGGGCTGAGAGCTTGGATGAGGGTTGGATGGAGCTGTAGCTTGCCCAGATAGTTCCCCTCTGCTTTCCCATCTCACTGGAGTGGGTCCAGTCAGGTCCTGGAAGTTAGCAAGGGATACACTCAAAGGCTTGTTTACAGATGGGTGAGTCCTGCCCAGCCTGAAACCTTATTGCCAGGTGGCTCTCAGCCTGAGAACTGGTGGAAAAGACTACAAGAGGATTAGAAACAGCATTCACAGCCTCCCAGTTGCTAATCCTTCCTTTCCTGTCCTTGTGCTTTCCTTGGCAAGGTTTAGTGGGACATTAAGAGCTTCAAGCTAGATTTCTCCATCAGCCCCGCAAAGGGTTACATCTCCCCGGGAAAGGATGTCCCCTTCATCATGACCTTCCACCCCTCTACGTTGAGCCACGCTATCCAGTACGAGGGCCTGCAGTGCTTCATCC